GATTAATTTGTTAATCATTAATCAATAATCATTAATTTGATTAACTTCTTAAATGTTCTATCGAAAACAATGTTAAAACATTGAATTCTAATATTAGATGTTTGGTTTTAGGCTACAATTCTATGACAGGTCATACCTAGATAAATATAAGGTAACCTAGACTGCTCCCCGCCCCCTTCCCTAGCTGAAACTTCCGGTGCAGTCTTTCGACCTCCCGTAGGAGGATATCAGTCCACTTCCCCTACCGTTCCAGCACTTACTTGCAACCCCACACTCCCACCACCCCCCCACCCCTAGCCTCCCTTGAAGCTTCTGGTACGAAGTCTCCTGCACCTCCCCAACACGCAAAACCTCCTAGTTTAGCAAACCCACCCTTCTATTGAATTGCCCACGCGTGGGCCTCCCCCCGAAACTTCTGGTACGAAGTCTCCTGCACCTCCCCAACACGCAAAACCTCTGAATTGCCCACGCGTGGCCCTCCCCCCGAAACTTCTGGTACGAACTCTCCTGCACCTCCCCAACACGCAAAACCTCCTAGCTTAGCAACCCCAACCTTCTATTGAATTGCCCACGCGTGGCCTTCCCCCCGAAACTTCTGTTACGAACTCTCCTGCACCTCCCCGACACACAAAACCTCCTAGTTTAGCAACCCCACCTTTCTGTTGAATTGCCCACGCTTGCCCCTACCTTGGGAGGGGGCGGGGGGGACTTTTCCCCTATCGTCAGCCAGCCCTCTTAACTTCTTTCCTGACCCAATTTTGATACCGGAAGAATAGAAGGAATTGTGAGAAACAAAACTAGTGCGATAAGTGTTTTGAGTAGTGAAAGTTGACGCAGTTTTTGGGAAAACGACAGTACAACTCCAGATCCCCCCTTTGCTAGACATTTTATAAGTCGCGGGTACCTTTTCATACACCCCCAACCCTTTTCTTATGAAAATAGTGGATAGTTAATCAAATAATCAAATTAACGATTAATGATTATGATTAATGAAATCAAAAAAAATTGATTATGATTTTAATCATTAATTTTTAATCATTAATCAGATTAACTTTTTGCCAACACTGGTGCTGAGAAGTGGCAAAAGAAACTGTTATACCTACCTATGAATGGAGAATGGAGGTGTTATTACTGAAATACTTTCATAGCATTTACGGCTAGCGCTAAGTTAGTAGACAGATGAGAAAGAATAAGTACTAAGGTACAATCACTATGAGGGGTGAGCAGAGTAAATACAAATGAGTAGGTCATCTTCATAGAAACTCCACGTTAAATTTTGTCAGTGTGTGCGTGCGCGCCGCATACGTATTAGCGCGCTCACATACAAACCGCACTCGATGCGTTTCTATGAAGATGACCTACCTACTCATTTGTATTTACTCTGCTATGAGGATAGGATACTCGCCACTTCACTAGGGTGGCGCCACTGTAGAGTAAGTAGGTAAGGTCCTATCACTCGTTTACACTTTATCAACTTCTTTTTTTATTGTCTGTAAACCACTAGATGGCGTTACACAGCCTGAAAAAGGTTGGTAGGCAACTTAACGTTGGCAGAAGGCCACTGATCGGAAAAAGCGTTACTCGGTTCTGATTTTAGGAGAACAACTGGGTAAACTAACCTAGTTATGGTGGCATGCCAACAAATCGGTCATCGTGTGGTTCCAAGTTCCAACGAGTATACTAAGGTACAAGTGCAACCCGGTCGAGTTAACTGCCATTAAGTAACTGCGCACCTGCGTTACTGGTGAGAAATAAAGAATTATTATTATTATTATTACCTGGCGGGGCCGTGACGTCACATCGACGCTCGGTACCTCGGTACGAACGGGGAGATGCGATGTGTGGGTGAGTGCGAGGGAAAGTCTCATTCAGCGAGGTGCGCAGTTAGGGTTGCCAGGCGTCCGGCTTTAGCCGGACATATTTGGCTTTTTAGGGACTTGTCCGGCCAAATATTGCCTTGTCCGCCGGCCTGTCCGGCTTTTGTTAGGCTTTTTATTCAGAAAATTTTATTAGCGAAAGTCGAGCCACAGAATCATATGAAGCGCACGCATCAGGATGTTGGTTAGCAACCGATGCTGATAGTACTCACTCATGAGATGACACTAATTGCACCCCCCCNGGTCACATGTCCGGCCAAATGAAGCACAAAGTCCGGCTTTAGTGATTTTGGTAACCCTTCTGGTAGAGGGACGTAACCGATGATGATGAGACTTATGATGATATACTAACTACTTAGATAAATGTTATTGCTTAAATGTAGGTAGATCTTAGTAACTACTAGGTACTTATGTCTAAAGAATTACTATCTCGACAGTGACGTCCAAAGACAGCCAGGGGGCCTTGTACGATAGGGTCGAACAGGCTATCGCAATTGACCGAAATCATAATAATTTATTAGCGTCGCTGGCGAGAATGGAACGGTTCATTTATATGTAGGAGGTACTGACAATGTTATGTATGTATGTTCCTAAGGCTAACTGGATGGCCCGTATTCACAAACATTACTAAGTATGAGGTCTCACAGTGCGCGTGGACACATAAGCCAATCACAGAGCTCTATTCAACGCTGTGCGTTCGATTTGCTGCTTTACTTAAGCAAGGATCGTTTGTAAGTTCGTTTGATTCTTCTTCATTGCAACGGAAGCGGAAATCGACTAATCGCAAACCGCTCTCGCGCGTTTTTGGTAGAGAACACTTCCAAGCAATAAGATACCTACTCATACTTCTGGTGGTCTGCGCCTAGTCTTAAGTTACACCTTTTGTCGAAATGCAACTTGTAAGTAGATAGACAAGTCCCTCATTATATTGCAAAATGCAAATATGTATTGCAATTTAACCTTACCTTAAGTTAAGTACCCTTAACCTTAAGTACCTACTTACGAAGGTAGTTAAGAGGAGAGGACTGTGTAAGGTGATCTTACTTTAATGCATAAAGATAGATTTAATGATTAGCCGTTTCATAAAGCAGGTAGGTACTTATGTATGAGGAAATATTTATAATAGAATCGGCGCACATCCCAAAACCGGAAAAATACCTACTAATACTAATAGTAGGTACCTACCTACTGAATATAGGTACTCTTAAGAAAGATAATACTGTGTTAATCAATATACCTACTAAACATTTCCGCTGTTGACCGTACAGTTGAAATCAAAACAAAACAAGTCGGTAACCTACCTAAAGGCCTACGAAATAAAGTTCAAAGTTTCATTGACCGCTTGTGTATAAGGCGTGCCTCTCGCAAACAATTTTACATCATTGCTGCCGACCTTAGGGGTCAAGTTTTCATACTGATATAGTTTGTGATTATGAATGATGTAACCAAGCAAATGAGAAGCAATCCGTCGAAACTGAACTAATAACGGGTTACGATTTCAGCCTTGGTTCAATACATAGGTACTTAAGTTATCTATATACAGTGTGAGTCACGTTAAAGTGTACATATGAAAATAGATGAAACTAGACCTATTTTTATCGACAAAAAAGAGGTCAAAATTTTTTTTAGGTTTTTTTTTAATTTCTTATAGATTTTTTTTTCTTCAAATTACTTATTGTAAAGAAAACGTAATAACTTTTAAACTAAGCGGTATATTCTGATAAAATAAAAACAGTAATAATGCTAAATAACAGGCAATACTAAAAAAATACATAAAGTACACAGAAAAGGCCAACAAATAATAAAAAAAGATACTTTTTGAAAAAAATCTGCTTTTAAATTCGTGTTTTTTTGGTTATTTGATAAATTTCTCCAAAAAATGCCCCTATAACAGGTGGTTTTTATTACTTTGTATTATTCTCTATCGTATTACCTTCGTAAAACCAAAAATCGCATGTCTCTATCCCTATCACAACGTTTGCAATGATCGTTTGAACTAAGCCTCTCCGGGCGCGCCATTCAACGCTTCGTTAACAACGAAACTGAAAATGGCTCTAGATTTGTAATTTTGATAAAGACAAGTTAGATTTCAAATAAAAACAAAAGATTTCGAAGTAAAATAAGCATTTTAGTTAAAATTAAAATTGTCTCTACCTGTAGCGGAGAATAATGTGGTGACAGGCCTTTGTTCAAACGATCATAGCAAATGTTGTGATAGGGATAGAGTCGTGCGATTTTTGGTTTTACAAAGATAATACGATAGAGAATAATACAAAGTAATAAAAACTACCTGTTATAGGGGCATTTTTTGGAGAAATTTATCAAATAACCAAAAAAACACGAATTTAAAAGCAGTTTTTTTTCAAAAAGTATCATTTTTTATTATTTGTTGGCATTTTTTGTGTATTTTATGTATTTTTTTAGTATCGCTTGTTATTTAGCATTATTACTGTTTTTATTTTATCAGGATATACCGCTTAGTTTAAAAGTTATTACGTTTTCTTTACAATAAGTAATTGGAAGAAAAAAAATTCTATAAAAAATAAAAATAAAATCAAAAAAAATTTTTGACCTCTTTTTTGTCGATAAAAATAGGTCTAGTTTCATCTATTTTCATATGTACACTTTAACGTGACTCACACTGTATATAAAAGAAAGTCGTGTTAGTTACTTCGCTTATAACTCAAGAACGGCTGAACTGATTTAGCTGAAAATTGTCAGGGAGGTAGTTTAGAGCCAGGAGAAGGACTTAGGATACTTTTTTTCCCGTTCGAAACAAAAAAAAAGTCTGCTTATTTATTGCCATTAAGGCGGAACAAAGTTCGCCGGGTCAGCTAGTGTAATATAAAATTAAATTGGTACAACCCATATCTACAAATCAGTATTTATTATTGTTAGTATTAGATCTTTTAGTTCCACTACTTTATTTTAATAATACACAATAATACAATCTCTATTTAATGTCTGGGAAATAATAACTATTTAGGTACCTACTTTGTATTTACTAAAACAATACATTCATGTTTTGCATATTTTTTTTATTAATGCTTAATATAAGTAGGTATATGGACCAAATATACATAATATGTTTTATAAATTTAGAAAATCTGCATTGTCATTACAAATTCCATAATATTTAAAGCCGAATAACATCTACAGCATAAACAATTGAACTTTTATCAGTGATAATAACTGACTTGTTTACTGTAATACAATTTAATGCATCTGATTTCTGTAATTATTCCATTCATAGCCAATGTTTAATCAAAACGTATGCATTCAATTCATTTTTCTATGGGGATTAATTTACTCCGATAAAATATAAAGAAGGCCACATTCTGACATTATTTTAAGCAGTACAATACCTACAATAAACTTAGCTAGCTGATAAGACATAAAACACCTCAATTTCGATTTACATTTTACATCAATTGACCACTTCAAAAATAAACTTTTTCTCGTTAATGTAAATACTTAACAAAACAATTTGTCTTTTAATAACTAGAGCTATGCTAACAGAGATAAAAATATTCTCATAAAAATGTTATTATTTGAAAGAAAAAAAAACTTTCAACAGCAACAAGTTATCTAATCTACAACATTATTACATAAATGCAGAGCTAAGTTCATAAAGAGTTTTCCATGGCAGTTGTGGAATGAAACTATTACATTATGGCCAAGATAATTAATACTTATTAGTTCATTAATCCTCGCAAGATCTGCTAATTATAATGTCTGGAAAAGACAATGAATGATACAACAAAACTAACCATAAAATGAGATTATAAAAAAAAAGAAAAAAACACAGTTCTTTCCAATCCATGTTTAAAGCTACTAAAACTAAATTAGTAGGCTTCCAACTGTCCTTTATAAATACAAAAGTATTATTTCCAGAGTAAAAAATATCACCAATTCTTAGTTATCTTTATCTAATCTATTACTGTTAGATAACATACCAATAGACAACATGAGATGTCCAAAAATAACTGGGACATAGTCTATGATGCAAACAATATAAAACCAATGTTGGAGAACTTAACCTAAATTAAAATTAAATGCTTAATTAAACTAGTATGGAACATTGGAGAATAGATATGAAACAGATTCTCCGTTGTGTGTACGCCTCACTGCCTCAGCCAGCATCATGGAAACATCGATGCACTGGATTTTAGGGCAATCCTGCATATGCCTTTCCTGTGGGATTGTGTTTGTAACGACAACTGCCTCTAAACAGGCATTGTTGATTCGAGAAATGGCAGGCCCAGAGAAAATACCATGAGTGAGGATTGCATACACCTTAGTTGCACCAGCTTCAATCAACTTTTCAGCAGCATGGCAAATAGTGCCGCAGGTATCAGCCATGTCGTCCACCAGGATGGCAATGCGGTTCTTCACATCACCCACTAACACCATTGAGGCCACTTCATTAGCCTTCTTCCGTTCTTTGTGAATAAGAGCAAACTCAACATTCAACCGATCAGCTATTGAAGTGACTCTTTTGGCACCACCAGCATCAGGAGATACTACAATGCTTGTTTTCCAGTCAGGAATATTCTCTTTGATCCATTTCAACACTGCAGGCTCGGCGAAGAGGTTATCCACGGGTATGTCGAAAAATCCTTGAATTTGGGATGCATGAAGATCCATTGTTATGATGTGATCCGCGCCGGAGACGGAGAGAATGTTGGCGACCAGTTTTGCAGTAATTGGAGCTCTACTTTTGTCTTTTTTGTCTTGTCTCGCGTACGGAAAGCACGGAATGACAGCGGTGACCCGGGACGCCGAAGCAATTTTGCATGCGTTGATCATAATCAGTAGCTCCATAAGATTGTCATTTATCTCGCCACTGCCGCTCTGAACTATGTAAACATCTTCTCCACGAACAGATTCACCGATTTCTACACACGTTTCCATGTTGCTAAATTTTTTTGTGACTACTTTGCCGAGATCAATTCCAAGGCGGTCGACAATTTTTTGCGCGAGGTCCGGATGCGAGCTCCCGCTGAAGACCTTGATGTTCGGCATTCTGGTGGTTAGAGGTAGAGTTATGTGGTCCAATTTATTCACTACTTCCTCGAGCGGTACTGTTGATTTCATCAGCACCAACCGCTAGACGGGACGACCTCACGGGACGGTCACTCAATGTATGCGACGGGCAGACGACTTGAATTAACTATTTATGAGTCTTTATATGATGATAAGAGATACTTAGGAAAACGTGGGGACTCGCCGCGCCGTGCCGTAAAATACGTCGCACCAAACTTCACGAGTTCACGCGTTCGTCGCTCGTCTCACTCGTCTCGCACGTTTTTTTATTAATTTATTTATACCACAGATTAGAGAGTATGTCTAAAGAATTTAAACGTCAATCAATCATGATCACAGACTTGCGTTTTCGTGTCAAAAAATCCATTCCTTGATTAAAAAAAATGATTTTCGATAACTAGTAAATATTTAAGTTTTATTGTAGTTAAATCAATATCGTTTTATTAATTTTCAGCTATAAATTAAAATAAATTATTAAAAAGACGGCTCAAAACCATTGACATTTATAAACTAAACGTTCAAATAAACACGTCATTGCCATTTTGACATTCGCTTCGCGCCCAACTGTTCAGTCAGCTGTTGTTGTCTTTTCTATTTTTATCTCAAAATTTTGTATTTTTTTAATTTTTTTATTAATACAATGTTTATTCATTTTTAATTGCTTTTACTGTATTGACTTTCAATAAATATGGCAGAAGAATCTGAACTTCCTGGTGTTAAAAAGATGAAACTACTGCGATGTATGGACTGGCTCCAGAAGCAAAACAGTTTGGACATGAAGAAACTTTCTCAACAAAATAAGAACGATATTCAGTTTATTATCAAGACCAATGCAGATAGAAAAAACTTTCTGCTGTCTGTAGCTGAGGACGAAGCGACGGTTCCTGATGGTGTTTACGAGCCTGCAATCGAACCAAAGGCTGTGGTGTGTTGGTTTTTAATTTAACCTTTTTTATTTACATGAACACCTTTGTCTAGGAGTGGACGTCATTTGACATAAACGATATTTTTTTTGTAATCAAGTATTACTAATATTATGTGCTTTATTTTACTCCAGAATAAATACTTTTAGCACAATAATGAGAGGGATATACTGTTTTTAATATGTACTGAATATTATAGTGAGTTAATTAACTAATGACTACAATGGCTTATTTTGTAGTAGTGCCTGTTTAAGATAGACTAAACTTTGTACTTCTTTTACAGCCTCTTCACCGTTTACGCACTGAAAGCTTACGTCTGGATTGTGAATGGCAAGCGTGCTTGTGGCATTTCACAGACTACGAGGAGTTCCAGAAACACATCCGGAACCACATCTCCAACTTGCATGTTTTAAAAAACGACGACAGTGGTGAGTCACACACTATAATGCCAGCATAATAATTACTGTCAATATTAAGGTTTTGGCTCATATAGTGTGTTTATTTCAATTTTTTTTTCTTGCAACTGTCAAATATAAGCTCACAAATTAATCATTAATCTTACCAGTATCTATGACTCTATGTACAAAGTAAGTCCATAGATCACAAAATGAAAAATTAACAGACAGACATCTGTACAAGCTGAACACAGTGGCATTTTATGTATTTGTTGCAGGTTGCAACACAGTGGCATTTTTGTTGTAAAATGCTATTTTGCACCAAAAATGTATTGTGTTGTCTGATGTGATGTCTACTGTACAATAACTAGATATTATACTGTAAATTATGTTAATGACAGTATCTTATTTACTTAAAACTTTTATGCACATAAATCACGGTACACATGGCGAACTTAATGTCATTCAGAATTCTCCTCCAGTCAGCTTTAGGGCCAAACTGAAAATATAGTAGGCGGTACTAAATCTTCTTCTTTTCGTGTCGACAACAAACCTACACAGTGTCAGCCCAAAACTCCGCCACAAGAGTCTGGTACTAAATTATTCGATAACATATTAATGACGCTATCTTATTTATATTTCAAGTGGAGTATGTCTGCCTATGGGATGTCTGCGGGCACAAAACGCCGGACTTCAACGAAATGGTCCGTCACATCAACTACCACGCATACCACGCGCGTCTCCTGGCTATCGGTCTCAATGGGCGTGCCACATTGAACTTGGCACGGTGTAAAAAAGATTCGAGCAAAAGGAATCAGTTGCCTCCATTGTTAAGCGAACATGTTTGTATGTGGGTTGGGTGCGAAGAAAGATTTAACTGCATCCAGGTGAGAAATGCTATAATTATTTTCTAACTCTACCGATATTTAATTTTCTGAAGAATTTGTTATAATTATTTTTGTCACCATCAATTGACTTGACCTTAGAACAGTGGTTCTTAACCTTTAAGTCACGAGGGACCATTTTACCAAATTTCTGTCTAGTCAGGGACCACTTTCTTATTTTCAAAATCCTATGAAAATGGGAGGTCGATTTCTCGCCCACTGTGCGCCGTTTGCGTTGTGTTGACTCGACTCATCACGTCACGTCACTTGTTTATTACGATGTCTTCGTGGACCACTTGGAATGCCTCCAGGGACCACCAGTGGTCCGCGGTCCACCGGTTAAGAACCACTGCCTTAGAATAATTTTATGAGAAAATCACTGCAAAGTTTGCATACAATCATATAAATAAGATAATAAAGTTAATACGCACACTATCGCGTCATTTCAAGGTTATTTCTATCTTCATTTCCATAATTACATCTGCTGATGCACAAATGTTTTGTTTTCATCAAAGAGATAGGGGGATGTTTTATGATGTAATAGTCAAATCGAATAGTTTATTCAGTAATTCAATTATGTAAACCCTGGTCTTCCTAATATAAATAAATAAATAAATAGTATAGTATGTATAGTAGTTTCCTATATGTTCCCCTGCTTATTTAAATCTACCGTCGTCTTTAGTCGTTCTAAAAATCTATAGACATAATTGGAAATCTACTGTGTTGTCAGTGGTAAAAGCTTTCAAGTTTTTTTTTTCCTTTTCTAATCTGCTACTTGACAATCTGTTTCCGCGAAACAATAATAATCCAATCATCTGTCTGATTCCAATCCGGTTCTCGAGGCGTTCAGTAAGAGACTAGTCCAGTGAGTCATCTCTTATTCTTTCACTGCGAATCTTTTCGCTAGGTTTTGAATGCTGTCTCTTCAGTCTAGAAAAGTGCAGACTGCCAGTTCCTTGCAGTTGAGAGGCGAGTTCGTTTCTGTGACTATCCAGTCTCAGTTGGTAACTTTTACTGTACTTTTCAATTTGCTGTTTCTCTGTATCCAGCTTGATATCCATGTACATAATCTTGTTACTGACATAGGGATGTATCTTAGAGAGAGAAAGCTTTAAGTAAACTACTATTATTAGGCCTTGACGAAAACCGGGACTTTCTCTTTTTGAGTTAACAATAAATTCCCTATCCTACATCTCATTATCTTCATTGCAGACCTTGTTCGATCACGTCAAACTCCACATAAAGTATTCCGAGCGGACCCTATGCTCGTGGGCGGGCTGCGGACTCACGTTCGCTCGACGCAGCCTGCTCTCTATGCACCTCCGATCGCACACCGGGGAGCGACTTATCGCGTGCTACCATTGCGGTCAGCACTTCGCGTGTAATAGGAAACTGGCTGATCATTTGAGGAGACAGGTCAGTCCACCGCTATGTATTTTTATTTTTATTCGTATTATGTTGGCCGTTTGGTGTAGTGGTTCAGAATGGACTACTATGCTGAGAGGTCTCGAATTCGAGAACCTGAAATGATGCATTTTAATTTCTGTGACGGATCTGGGTGTTACTTAGGTTTAAATAACATTTATTTCTCATTAAAAACATTACAGTCACTTACATGAGAAATTAACAAATTTTATGTAGGTAGATAATTAATTATTACTTTGTATAATAATATGTTTGTAGTGTCCGACCGAAACTAGTTTTACGACCGAAACCGAAAACGAATTTCGGCAACGGTGTCTATTTCGGCCGAAACCGAAACCGAAACTTCCTTACAAGGCTCATATTTTGAGGGAAAAATAAAGAAAAGGTTATTATAATCAGTCAGTATTTATTGTTTTCTCTTTAAATTGCATTAAAATTGAACTTATAAAGCGCATTTTTACTCTAAAAGGTATCAAATTATGTATTAAAAAAGAAAAAGAAGGATTTATAGTTAGATTTTTTTTAATTACTCGCAATATTCAGGACATCTACATAACCCGTCCCATGGTCGGGTGTTTTATAGCCTGACCAGGAACATAAAAACCCTGGCATAGAGGCGCGTCAATTGCATTTGATAGTGCAACACTGAGTACAGTCGTACCTGTGTTAAATTAATAGGCTAACTTTATGTATCAGGATTCAGGATTACGGGCTAATTTGATATTTTCATAAATTAACGAAAAAATATTAATATAGGTAACCTGGTTTAAATAAATTAAATGAAACCATCAATCGAGCTAGTAGGATTTATTTTATTATTCATCAATAATCAAATTTAGAACTTGAATATTCAACTGCAATGTCTGCTCATGAACGCTTCAAACTCAGTACTTCTTTCCCAATTTCATAAAATTCAACACTTAGAAAGTGTCATTTTTTTAAAAATAGGTAGTTGAAACACACCACAGCTAATTTTCATAGTGGACTGTACTATACGATAAACATGTCAGTCAATTTGACAACCTTTGTCGGAAACCTTATTCAATGAAAATATTGTCCGAACCCTTAGTATTTCTCTTCGACAAATACTTTAACACATTGTAAACCACTTTTCTTTCACGACTATAAAAGATTTCAGCAATTTAACTCACAAAATAAATTGCGCACATTTAAAATAAAGTTTGTTTACACTTTGACAGCAATAGTCTGACATGCAAGGTGACATGTCAATGAAGTTTTCAGTTACTGTTGCCATTAAAATAAATTAGTACCATTAGTTTTCCGCAACATGGCGAGGGTTTTTATGTTCCTGGTCAGGCTATACCTTAATAATTTCTCAAAACAAAATTGGTAGTAGGTACGTAAGTTAGTAGGTTATCTACGTACTTGCCACTTGGATACCTTGGTGATAAATACTAAATGAGCTTTTAAACTCTGAATCCATAATATTATCACCATGAAATGCACTTTAGTCATTACTAACTACCTAACTAATGTTTGTTTACGTATAGCATTTGCGAACCAAAAAAAATAGGTTAGATTAAACTTGATTATACTTTTATCAGTCATATTAAATATTTTTTTTTATATTTATTACCCGCTCTTATGTTATAACGACATAAAACGAGATAAAATTCA